ACATCGACGACAACACTGATAACCCTCACCATCCCAACGGGGACTGATAACCGTTAAAACAACAACAACAACGCTATTGGCGCCCAGGTCACCGCCCCGTACGTGATGGTCGCACTATCATGGTGTACAACCACCTAACGATCCTTGACTTCCATCCCCAGGATTTTACCGCCAGTCGATTGCACACCACCACAAAGTAGAATCTAGCATGAAACTGAGGTTTTTTACACTGAGGATGGGAGGCGGGTGTTAGATGAGTTGGGTTTGTAGGGCATGCAAAGAGGTGGCCAGTATCATGCGGGGAATCGTTGCATGTAGGACATACATTGGCTATGTCAGGGTCAATTCTGGAAAAGTAGGAGTTTAACCTGCTACAATATATAGAGCGAAGTTGCGCTAGGGCCATTTGCGTTTCTCGCGGCAACTGGAGCTCTTCTTCTGCGATAGGTGGTGATTTGATTCCAAGAACGCCATTCACGGGAAGGGAGTCGGTGAAGGTGTTTATGGCTCCACTGTCAATGGCGTTCAGTCCCTGTCCAAAGTTAGTTGCGTCCGGTCCGATCCGGTCGGCATACTGTACGACGTTGTCGACATAGTCAAGGAAGAACCTTTTGATGCTCCTGGGAGGCGGTTCCGCTCCAAGCAGATGGAGTTTAAAGAGGAGTTCATTATGCTCCTTTACAGGAAGCATAATCGTCTCACTGTAGAGGTGTTCGATGGGAGACATCAGGAGGCATCTCGTCGTGGTCCGGAGTACAGTATTCTGGCACGCCTGAGTTTCCTCATCCGCTTCCTGGCGACCATATTGGTGTTGCGTAGTTAAGGACCAGCCGGCCGATTGCCTTGTAAGTTCCCAACAACGTTTCTTTGTCTTTCCCCATGTGCTGCCGGCTAACGAATTGAGGATCTTGTTGCAGCTCTGTACTTTGGCGATAATCGCGGTCATATGGGGAGAGGAGCATAGACTATCGAAGGTTACGCCTAAGATTTTAGGGTCATTGACAGTCGCAATTTTGACGCCATCGACTGCAATATTAAGCTCAAGTCTATACTTCTTCGTCCAGTACGTAAATATGGTCGAATTCCACCCCCAGGAAGGGGTGAATACCTGTTGCATGAGGAGGTCCCGGAGCACGGTAAGCTCCTTCGATTGGAGCGGCTCCGCCGGATAGGTTTGAGGCAGTATAGCCATGCGGATGCGTGGAAATTCAAACCCTCTGGTAGATTCGGGAAAGAAATCTCCCAGCCGTTCGATACCAAAAGAGGTTTCAGACTAGGCGACTCCCTATCGTGCGACTTCTTTAATCTGATGCTGGAAAAAATAATTCGAGCTGCAAAACTAAACAAAGAAGGATGTACCATCTTCTATAAGTGTGTACAACTGCTGGCATACGCCAATGATATTGATATCATTGGCCTTAACAACCGCGCTGTTAGTTCTGCTTTCTACTGATTGTATAAGGCAGCGAAGCAAATGGATCTGGGGATGAAATATCTCCCTGTCATCAACTTTAAATTTTCTTTAACAATGTTTGATATCACTACAACTAGTTTCAAAAACTAACGAGCAGTTTGATTTAAATAACTTAAAAACAAATTTCATAGAAATTAATAGTAATATTCATACATATATGGTATATAATTAATTCCTTTATATTTAAGCTTCCAACTAAGCTATGTGGTTTTTTCGACATAATCGACTAGAGCGGCATGTGTCTAAAAGAAGACATGTTATGGTTAAGAAGATTGTAATTGTGCATCAATTTTTATTTTTATCAAAGAAAAATAATTATAAACAAATGCGGATTGCTCATTTGTAATTAAAAATGAAAAGAAATATATTGAAATATGAGACGTGTTTCGTGTTTTTTGAGTATTAAGACTTACATTAAATTAATATATATCGAATTTTTATTTTATTTTATAGAATGATTTGAAGAATCAACTTAAAGAGGCTGGAGCGAAGTTAGTTGTAATTGATTTCTTTGCAACTTGGTGTGGCCCATGTAAAATTATCGCTCCTCGGCTAGAGGAATTGGCAAAAGAGTACGAAGGAAAAGTCGTTGTATTAAAGGTAGGTTACTGCATGTCTGTACTGTTTCCTATGGTGCACCGGCATTTTAATGTTAATATTTTTCTACGTAATATAAATAATATAGTGTTACTAATTTGTATTGATATTTATTTCTATTTTTTTTAATGCTTTGTTAACATTCGATGCATTCAAACATTTATAACTAACATAAATTATAGACTTATAATTTTTTGGAACTAAAATTAATAACACTGGATTTTTTCGGCGATCTTACCTCGTTTGGACTGTAAGTATTAATCTAAGTTCACGAATATGGTCGCCTGGATGCAGTGGAATGCATACAACACCTCCACAGTGAGACGCTTATGCTTCCTGTAAAGGAGCATAATGAACTGCTCTTCAAACAGTTCCTGCTAGGATGTTTCCGTAAGAATCACCCGTGCAGCCATCTGCTTGGAGCGGAACCGCCTCCCAGGAGCATCTAAAGGTTCTTCCTTGACTATGTCGACAACGTCGTACAGTACGCCGACCGGATCGGACCGGACGCAACTAACTTTCGACAGGGACTGACCGCTATTGACAGTGGAGCCATAAACACCTTCACCGACTCGCTTCCCGTCATCACCACCTATCGCAGGCAAAGATCTCTAGTTGCCGCGAGAAACGCGAGGTTAAACTCCTGCTTATCCAGAATTGACCGTGACATACCGAATGTATGTTCTGCATGCAACGAGTCACCGTATGATACTGGCCACCTCTTTGCATGCCCTACAAACCCTACTCATCTAACATCCTTCTCATTTTGGTCCGACCCTGTCGAAACAGCACGTTTCCGGTTCCTCCCGTTAGACGACCTCGACGACAACGCAAATGACCCTTACCAGCCCAACGGGGATTTGATAACCGTTAAAACAACAACAAGGTGGACCATGAACTACTTGAGCGGTCAGCAATTATCCGTACTGTTTTGAGGATAAAAATCTGAACTGATAAGAATTAAACAGGGGGTTCCGCAGTATGGTGTCTCCTCCCCGTTACTGTTTAACTTCTACATCTCGAAGCTCTCACATCCACCAGAAGGAGTTTCGATAACCTCGTACGCTGATGATTGCACGATATTAACGTCGAGCAATTGAATCGATGGCATGTGTTTAAAAGTAAACAGCTATCTCTCCGACCTTTCTCGTTTGTTCTTTGCACGGAACTTAAAACTTTCTCCTACCAAATCCACAGTGACCATATTCACGAAGTGGACGAAGGAGTATTGGCTTGAGCTTAATATTGCAGTCGATGGCGTCAAGGTTCCAACTGTCAATAATCCTAAGAATTTAGGTGTAACATTTGATAGTCTATGCTCCTCTCCTCATACGACCGCGATTATCGCCAAGGTACAGAGCCGCAATAAAATCCTCATGTCGCTAGCCGGCAGCACATGGGGGAAAAACAAAGAAACGTAGTTGGCAACTAATAAGGCAGTCGGCCGGCCGGCCCTCAATTACGAAACACCAATATAATCGCCTGCATCCAGTGGAACGCAGATAAAGAAGATTCTAACCTGCCGGAAACGCGAGTTACCCTTGCGCAGCTTTGTTCTGGATTAGTAGGTTAAACTCCTTACTATACAGAATAGACCCTGATATGTATCTCTAACATATGTCCTGCGTGCAATGAGTCTCCGACTGCCTTTATTCTTTATTCAGAATAGACCCTGAAATATCCAACATACATATGTCCTGCGCGGGAGGCCACGGAAACGTACTGTTCGGAGACTCGTTGCACGCAGGACATATGTATGTTGGATATATCAGGGTCTATTCTGGATAAAGAATAAAGGCAGCTCCTTTTCGTGCCGTCAAAAGCAGCTTTAAAATCGACTAAGAAGTGGTGTATGTCTATCTTCTTTTCACGGGTCTTTTCCAAGATTGAAATATATGGTCGGTTGTAGAATTTCCTGCCCTAAAGCCACTCTGATAATTTTAGTATGCTTTAGGCATCGGTTACTAGATCACTTCTGGGGGTTCAACAAGAGTATTCTCCGGTCTTGAAACTGTCTGTTAGTCGCAGAATTTTGTCATAGAATTTTCGTGTAATACCCCTGTCGGCCAGCTTGTCAAGCTCTTCATACTCACGCATTTCGGCCCCTCTTTTGCCGTCTGCAAAGGCGTCTTGCTTACCTCTTCAACTCTCGGAATCTATCCCCTTCCGCACTTGTTCTCTTCGATTGTGTCGTTGCGAGGTGGACTCGGCATTCCTCATTGTATCAACTGTTCTTTTGAATTTTTCGAAAACCAATAGTTTCGTTTCATATGGTTCCCTTATACCGAATTGTTGATGACTGCTCTCAGAGAGCAGGAGTGCAAGCCGAGTAGAAAATCGTTCCGCTGTCTGTTGTGATGGTAGCTTCTCGGCGTTGAAATTTCCCTCTGTTTGTTGACGTGACGTTTTTTGCTCCACAGATGCGGGTGCGCATCGCGGCTGCAACAGGATAGTGGTCCGAGTGGATGTTAGAATCTCGGAGCGTACGGATGTCTACAATACGTAATCCTGAAGACTATGAAAACTACCAAGAGCTACGTTTTCAATGGTCCTCACAAGCGTCTGGCCAGGCTCGTCAACTCATTACATAGTGATGTGGACTTCTATAGCGAATCACTCGGTGCCTTCATCCCGGATATCAAATCACGTCTACTGCAATATCCCTAGTCTCACCTTTTCCACTTCCTCCTTCCTAAGTTGCTATTCTTACAATTTTTGTTCAATTTGTAGTTTTATTTATACTGCTATTAAATAATATTCATTACTCCCTTTTAATTACATAAAAAATATTACATAATTTAAAATGATTTAGTTGTATAATGCCGTTTGGCGTATTTATACTTAAATAAATAAATAAATACTGGAGACGCGTCTTCCATCTTATATGGCTACTGTAGTCCTTCTCCCGTCCATCGTCAGTCAGTGATGTCAGTCTTCATTTTAGAAAGGACATTAACGACCAGGGCAGAGGCACTTTCCCAATTAAGGAACCGGACATTCCAGCTGCATGTTCTGAAATCAAAGGGCGGATTTCTTATCCGAGGCAGTTTATCCAAAACCCAGTGCACAAACCCTGTGGAGAGGATATTTCGCTTTCTCACTTTAGTTCGTTTTTAAACAGATGTTCTTAGGCTATCCAGAGGCTACTTGGTCTAGCACCGGCAGTTGTGAGCTGCATGACCTGACCACTTCCAAGTGAATGGAAATCAAAGAACTTTCCTCACTTGCGTGAACTGCTAAATATGACGCATCTTCCTGTATCTGCTCTTCCGATGTCAAAATTGTTCCTGGCAGCTTGAAAGCCATATTGGATAGAGAAGATATCTTCGGCACAAGAATAGCCAACTTGTCAATCACATACAACAACATTAGTATGTTAAACTCCTACTTATTCAAAATAGACCCTGACATACCTAATTGTCTTTTCACGCCCAGTGAAACCAACTCACTTAAGTGACGTCGATGATAGCTAACTTATTACTTCCACCTCAATAAGGGTCTAGAAACTCATTACAAAAACAATAACAGTATTAAGAGAACATTCATGACATTGGATACATTTTTTTAGCATGTATGCAGCAGAAGTTTCTCCCATCCTGGGTTGGGCTAAAAGTAGTCTAGTTACTAGTGGTTGCTCTTGTATTAATTAATTAATAATAAGTTTAATTTTTTAAAGACGATTCAAACAGGGTTACACACTCGCAATAAGAGCCCTTGCCCTTGATGAAAATCGAGATAATTCTGGTAACACAGAATTTGATGATTATTTTCAAAAACGCTTTTGCCGAGGAATTACTATTAAACGTTAGAAATAATACTTTTCTTTCGCAAAAATTCTCTTATAAAACTGTCAATCAATTTCAATGTGAACCATTGGTTAACTTGCCATCATGTCTCTCTACTGTAAAAATATTCCTTTCATGGCCCTTGACTGAAAACCGCTGAAGAAGGCGCTTGCATCTGTTGAACTTTATTTGCTTCAAGTAGGTTGTCAGAAGGTGACAAGTTAACCAATGGTTCACATTGAAATTGATTGACAGTTTTATAAGAGGATTTTTGCGAATGCGTTCGCGACAAGTTTTTAGCGCTGAATTGGTTCGAACCACGAGAGGACGACTCTTTCTCTTTCTGACATCGACAGTAGACCTTATGGAAAACGATCAATAGTGCAGTAAACAAACTCTCGCTTTCCAAAGTGAACAGACTTTTTGAATCTAACGCCCTCTGGTGGCGTCATCTACACATATGTCGACTGGTGCGTTGAAATATGCTATCTTTATCGATTGTCTAGTGAGAATTTCATCATTTGGAAATCAATTATTGCGTTTTAAGTGTCAGTATGTTTGTGTTATCGGTGCGAAAATGAGCTTCGAACAAAGAGACAACATTAAATTTTGTTTTAAAATGGGTAAAACTTTTACCCGACCTTTCAATTAATGAAACAAGTTTATGGCGATGATTGCCTATCCCGTAGCATAGTGCACAAGTCAAAAATCAGCATTGAAATTCATGGAAGTTGAATTGAACATCTCCAAAACATCGAGTTATAGCATTTTGACTGAATATTTGTACTTACGAAAGGTGTGTGCACGTTTTGTTCTGCACAAATTGACTGACAACCAAAAATTGCTCAGAATCCAACATTTGATCGACGCTTGTGGCCGATTGTTTGACCATCACATTTTAACCATTAACCACTCCCTGTATTCACCTGATGTGGCACCGTGCGATTTCTTCCTTTTCGGGAAAATGCATTTGCCCATGAAAGGAAAGCGTTATGCAGACGTAGAGGTCATTCAAAAGGATTGCACCGGCATACTGGCGGCCATACCGTCCAACGAGCTAAAACACTCGTTCGACATGCTTTTGGACCGTGCAAAAAGCTGTATTAAAGCAGGGCACTATTTGGAATAAAATAAATTGATTTTACCGAAAAAACATTTGCTCTGTTTTTTTTTTAAGTCCTGTTTACTTTGGAACGCACCTTGAAACACTTTTTTCCGCAAATTTTCTCTCGCTATATGCTTTATATGTAAGCTTTTCAACAGAATTTATAAGCAAGACTTAGTATATTTATTGAAACGCGAACACTATTTAAAATGTATGCATAATTATATTTTTCAGGTTGATGTGGATGAATGTGAAGACATTGCCATGGAGTACAACATCTGTAGCATGCCAACTTTTGTATTTATTAAAGGAAGTCAACAGATATGTTCCTTTGCAGGGGCAAATCCCGAAAAATTAGYTGATTACGTGGAGAAGAATGCATAAATTTAAATTCGAATTTATTGTATTTAATTTTTTTTTATGCTGTAAAGTTTCCAATTTTAATTTTGAACAATAAAAAATAGTAGTCTTTTGAGATCATAATCTAAAAAAAATTTTCAATTATTTATATTAAGTTTTCAATGTTATTATTTGGCACACATTAAAGAAGCCCATTGTTACACTTCTCATTCCTTGGCGCCTGGGATTATTAGAAAACTGTTAAACTAGGCGCCATTCTCATCGACAAAACCACAATTTCCTGCTACGGCCAAACATGCCAAGCTCAATTGCGGTGGAAAATTCGGCGATTACGTCAAACATTGACACCCAAGTTTTTCAGATTGTTTGCCGCTGGAGCTTTGTGGTTGTTGCACGTTATGCATTTTTTTCCAAACGGTGTTAGATCGCCGAAAAAGCACTTGGTTGGATAAAATCCGATTAAATTGCGTTGTACTGTAGTGGGAATTGTGCACGTTCAGCATCGTGCTGCGTGTTGTCAAGATAACTTCTAAAATGACAAAAAGACATGAAAAGTTGCAATAAGAGAACGACTGTTTTTATAATAAAATATAATTATTTGTAAAAGTTCTTGCGTATATCTTTCCATGATGAAATTGTAAACATTACTGAAAACAATGAAAAAAATTATAGATCATGACATATTAAAAATTGCGGAAAGCACACTTAGAAATCATATCATCCAATTCCAATGTTTTACCCATTTGCCATGGGATATAAGTCTAGCAGAGGTTTCCGTACTAGTGCCGCGATCAAAGTTAAAAGGGTTAACCAGTTAGGGTTACATTGCAGCCTGTCATGATTCGTTAATTTGGAATACAAGTCAATTAAATACTTTAATGAAGCAGGAGTATATTCGAGGCATAAGAGACTTTTGGCTGCTAGGTACATTTTAAATTAAATATTTTAATCATTATATACATATATAAATTTTATTTTTTCATAGGCGACGCTGGCTATGCTTAGAGCCTTGGCTACCAAAGGCACCTCCAGTGAACTCTCTATCTTAGAAGTCAGCTGGTACAGAGCAGTACTGGTAGATCTGTCCGCTCTGTAGGCACGCTGAGCCGCATGCAGGGGTGCTTTCTTAACCGCTTTCATCCTGACTTCATTGTCCACGATCTTCTCCATGGTTTTTAGTAGGAAAGACGTAAGGCTGATTGGCCTGAAAGATTTCGCCAACGAGTAGTCTCTCCTTCCTGCCTTGAGTATGAAGATCACCATCGCTATCCTCCATACTTCGGGGATGTACGCCATTGCGAGGCTCTCTCAGCAGCCGAACCAGGTGAAGCAGTAAAAACTGCTCAATTTGTTGTAACAGCGCCGGAAAGATGCCATCCGCTCCCGGAGACTTGAATCTCTCAAACGAGGCCATCGCCCAATTCATCGAGTTCGCCGTAAATTAGTCTTCCCGAACTGTCTCCGGGAAGTGCGGACACAGAAGCTCCGTGGCTCTGTCGTCCGCGCTGGTCGTAAATGTCCCACCACCTGGTTTAATTTCTATTTCTGCGTCTTTTGTGACCCTGGCGAGAGCTTTATACGACCGAGCCGTTTCTGGCGTGGTGGCGACATTCTCGCAGAATATCCTGAAGCTTGCCTGATTTCCAGACCTAAGCTCCTTAGTGCATAAGGTGAGATAGTTCCTGTATTCTGCCCAGACCACCGTACGTTTCGCTTTGTTAAACAGGCTACGAACTTTTTTCGGAGGTCCGCTAGTTTCTTTGACCACCAGGGACCGTTTCGTCTGTCTTTGGGCACTTTTAGGGGGCAACTGTTATGATAAATTTTAATAACAGCCCCGTTCAGCTCAGATAGCCTAATCTCCAGTCCTGGGCCTGAAACGCTATTATCAGCTGCAGCCGCTTGATACAGATTCATCTGGGTGATCTCCGTATTGACGGCCATTATAAAATGGGTTCGAGGAAGGGCAGATCCTCTTCCCCGCCGTCCATCGCGCTGCCATCCAGTGGGTCTCCTAACCCGTCGAGGAGTTCTTGCGTGGAGGGTAGCTTCGCTGCAGTGGAAGACATCGGGGAACTCAGTGGTCGCCGCTGGCACTGCCTGACTAGTCCTGCTTCCGCCGGGCTGATCCGCCGCCTCGTCCACCTGTATTGCTACTACCTCCGGGGCTGCCACAGTCACTGCCTGCTTTTCGATGCCCCTGCTTTGGTGAGTCATAGGCATAGCACCTCCCTTGCTCCTGGTGGCTGCAGGCTTGTGGGGCCGCATGATCACCGTGCTGAACCTGTAATACAGGCGGAAGCTCACTGCCCCGACGTACTTGTACGACTCGTCGTAAATGTACAAGTACAATCTCCAATCCTTCATGTCTCCAATTTCCTCCATTTTGCTGCCGACGACGCTCCTGGACGAAATGCTGGGCCCCGGTTCTGTTTTTTCATCAGACCTAGGGCGAACTCATAGGGTTTTTCCGCATCGGGGGAGGAACATTGTCATACTATGCATGATTGGCAAATCTTCCGCCCTCCTCGCGCAGAGGACAGGGGCCTTCCAGCCTCCCAGCTTTAGGGGGAAATCCCGCAGCCAATTGGCGGACGTCTCGTCCATGCAGTCGACTTGAAGCATACCTGCTCTGATCTCCATCCCCATCCTCTGAAAACCTCTTCCATGAGGAGGTCCTGGAGCACGTAAGCTCCTCCGGTTTTAACGACTCTGCCGGGTAGTTTTGAGACAGTACAGCCATGCGGATGCCTTTAACGGCGTCCGCATATCTGCGCCGCCCCTCCTGCATCCGGTGGGGAGCCGGTCCAGATGGTTGGCCTCCAGCTACCTTTGCTTTGCAGCTCCAAAAGGCTGAGGGGCTCCTGAGGAGTAATCTGGCTGCTCTTCCGCTTTGCGGTTTGGGCATACGTGTTCGAGGGTAGTGCCCTGTCATCGCCACGCCTGGCGGTCAATGTGGTACTGACCGGGCCACGGTTGCTGGTTCCGTTGCCTTGCGCTCGAGCTGACACATTCATGATGGCTCATTCCCTTCCTTTGCGGGTCGTCGCACCCGCAGTTAGGGGCGTTGCCCACCTCTTCTGGGCCTCCTCCTTCTACGAGCACCGTCAGGCTTTGCCTATGGTTGTGAGTCGCCGTTTTCCTTAGTTGTTCCCTTGTTTCCGTGTTGTCCGATTTTGTAGTTTGGTTTTGTTTTTAGTGCTCATGTTGTTTTTGCGACCCTTGGCTTAACAAGGTAAGCTGTCGGGTCTATTGTTTTACTGGAGAACTTTAATGGAGGTTCGCCACGCCAGAGCCCCTTCACGCGATAAGGCCACAGTTACTCCTCAATTCGGTCCAGTGTTTGGGAGGCTCCGTTAGATTACAGCCGAATTTACCTCCTGGGTGCAAATCACCCAATGGGCAAGGGAGTCGCATAACACCCGGGATTAGGAGGGGGTAGCTCTTGGATGGCGCACGCATGTGGCACCCCACATCCTGCCTGGGCAGTGCCTATCAGCACCATCCACGCCGGTTGGGGATGCCGAGTATGCCTTGCGCCTAAGCCCCTGCATCGCGGTAAGGTGCCATTTTCCATTCGCAGGGGAAAAGGTGGGCGATAGCCTCGCTTGTCAGCTAAAACAAATTGAAACAAATCCTCTTTCAACAACCAATGGATTCCTAACGTTTTAGTGGAATTTTCGTCATTGTAGCTTAATGACTTTTCAATGCAATTACTGTCGAAAAAATTTGGATGGTTCGAAAACCATTTCACTAAGTTTAATCCAGCCGAGTTTAATATTAGAATTACCTCACTTCTCAAAAGATCTAGGACTCAAAATTTTYGGATCCTGTTAATAAGTCATCAACATAAAAGTCTCTTTTAATGACCATTGAACCGAGTGGATATTTAAAAGTATTGGCATCACTGAGCATTTGCAAACACCGTGTTGCGAGAAATGGAGCAGGCGCAGTGCCGTAAGTTACGTTGTCGAAAAATTTGTATTTGCTCTTCGCACACAATAAGTTGACAGCAATACACTATACCGAAGTTCAAAATGCCGACACATCAAAATACCGACAAAATTTAAATATACAGCTAAAACAAAATACCGACAGATAAAATACCAACAAATCAAAACACCGACAAATGAAAACACTGACAAACCAAAATGCCGACATGTGAAAAATATTTTATCATCTCTGCCCTTATTTCTATCGAAGAACAGAAAGAGAATTCTGCTGACTAAGAGTTATGATCCTGAGCGTGTTCGTGGCCGGGGGCCGAAGGCCGCAGGGCCTCGAACGAACAACGCCTCATTTTCTTGATGTCGGTATTGTAATTTGTCGGTGTTTTGATTTGTCGGTATTTTTACTGTCGGGATTCTAAAATTCGAGATTTTGATTGTCGGCATTACATTATACACCCAAGTTGACAATTCCTATCTTTTTCGTGTTTAATTATTTGTCGATATATTTTTGTAATGTACCCTGCATACTTATGTAAGCGAAATCAAAGAAGAGTTGGGTATAACTCTTCTTGGATGGTTGGATCCACCATTAAAAGTTCAAACAACCCTGAGATGAAGATTGACTAGAAGCATCAAAGACAACACAGAATTTGTTTGCTGTTCTCTCGTGCCTTATAACGCATTGAAGCGAAATGAAGTAGTATGGCTCACTCGGGATCTTATTGTTCGTCGGGCTCATGTGACCCAGTGCTCTATATTCATTCATAAAGTCCAGATATATTTTACGAAGTTCTGGAGCTTTTAATCTTCTTCTCTCCAGGGCCTGAAACCGCCGAACTCCGGTTTCATAAGAGTAAAGGCCATACTTGAGTTATTTGCGAAATATGTTTCATACTCTTTTGTGAATTTAGTGTCATTTGAATCTGAAGGTAATTCTTCTAGGGCCCTACATTTTTTGACTATTGACATTAAGTCTTCATCAGCTTGGCATAATGTGCTATGTAATTTGGGAAGAGATCTTAAATTGATGACGTATTTGTCAGATAAAATTTAGCCAACAGCGAAAAAATCGAATAATGTTTATGCACCCAATAGAATATAAACATTTTCAGATTTCTAAAATACTGGATCCGCCAATTCCAG